GTCACTGACAATATTGTACTTCAAGATGGATCTAGCAATGACTTTTTTAACTATGAAAGCAACTCTATTTTTCCTCACCTTTTCATCTCCAGAGTAATATATCATATAGTCAAGGTATTAAATAATACTTTAAAATACAAGTAATAAACTAATTCAATAGATAGTGTAGATAATTGGCTATGTGCAGGTTAGGACATGTTTAAATTCCTGAGGTCCAAAAATGCATATGCAACTTTCCTACATTTGATATACACTGTGTTTAGTGTCCTAGTCTTAATAATTTTAATATACTCATAATAGAGAAAAGCACATAGAAAGGCATCCGAGCACTTCCTCCTATAAACAGCAGCCTACAGAATGCCACATCTATATTTGCCTATATAAAAATCTCAAAAATGGATTTATTCATTCAAAATATTTACATATTTAGGAAAGTGAAAACCATTTATTATCCCTTTTCTAAAAGCACAGCTCTTTGAAAGTGTCATTTCCAATGAATAAAATGTTAACAATAAAAGCACTTTCAATATTAAAACACTATGGACCACAGTCTTGTATTTACAGTAGATACAAATTTTGAAAGTCCAGTTTTTATATATTTCTTGGGCATATTTTATTAAACAGCATTATTTGATATGATAAAATTCTATTTATCCAGAGACTATGAAGTCCTTTGACCACCAAATATGTTAATTAAACAAGTGTTTCTGATAGGATAGTGGGAACTATATAGTCTAGTCATAGTTCGTACACAGAAAGATAATTTAGTGAGGAGAAATACTGCATGAACAAACAGAAGACAGAGAAGTATAAAACTAGCCTGGGAAAGACAGCACTCAATGGCATGGTGCCTCACTCAGTGCTTGCTCTCCCTGAGTAATTTGCATCCTTTCTTTCACCACACTCAATATTTCTCAACACTATCTTTTTCTCCACCCATTTTTATTTCTCTTTCCAAACATCTGACTCACCAACTTTGCTTCATCCTTATTTAGTAAGCTACTCTTATTCTTTGAAACCATCTCATCCAGATTTTTATGAAATGTACGCTGCAGAGGGGATCCCCTCTGAATTGGACCAATGTGAATGGGCCAAAGAAATTTAACACTGAGAGCAGAGAAAGGAAAGAGGTGAGAGGAAACGAGATATCATAGGCTTCAGATCTTTTCTGCTTGAACTTGAAAAATATTCTTCCTTGCAAAGAACAGACAACATCCCAGTGGGCCTCTGTGTTGGTTAAGAAACACCATCTACCTGCACTAGGTAGCTCATTACAGAAAGCAAGGAAGGAAGCAGTCTCAGGTTTCGTAAGTGGATAGCTAAGCAGAGTGAACTCCTCCCCTCCAACCTTCTGCTGAAAGGTCACCTGTTCCATTATCTATTCTTCTCAGGCTTTGCCAACTAAAATTTATGATTTCATATGGTTTCCATGGGCTGCTAGTAGGCATGAAAAACTATGCAAAATTCTCTACTTCATCTAATACTTTCATGCAAATACCATTGGAAAGGAGTTAACCATCACTGAAAAAGTGTATTTTACCTTTGCCTTCATTTTCTGAGAGTGGAGAGATGGGAAAACTCTGGGATAGGGAAGGAAATGCAAGACAGGCCTGAGAAGTTCTGGGTGCGGCTCAAGTGATATGGAGATTGGAGGACCTTGACAATGCCTAAATGCCAAAGCATGTTAAGTGCAATTACTTACCAAAGACCTTGTCTGATGTTCAGCTCTGTACAATTGTGTAATGAGAAACCATGATGCAATGTAAAGACCCATACAACAGTGAGGAGAGGAAATGAGCATTTATTCCCTATAGCTGGCACGTCCAGTCAAAAAAATAAGCATGTAGTACACTTTTTAAAAAGAAAGGATTTCATTAAAAATTGTCTTTTAATAATTTTTAACAGCAACTTATTTAAATAGCTTATTTCCTAAAGTGTCAAACTTCTTCAAGGAACGCTTTTCTGAAAAAAATGAAAGCCTCCTCAATGTCAAATGATTTTGTTTCATCCAAAAACAATCACAGCAAAATTTTCTCCACAACACATATTTCATATATTCTACTGTAGTCACACCATTGCCACTGTCTCATTTACTATAACTACAAAGCACCAAGACTACAGAGAGATCTTTCCATATTTTTGAAAGAAAAGGCAGAGGAGAGTCTAGTGCAATGTTCATTTCCTTTACTGTTGGGAGGAAGAGCAATACTAAAACGGAATTAAAATATTTAAGTCATAAAATCATTCCTAAAATCTTTCTTGGCTAGTTTCAGGTTTTAAATGTTGTAAAAACAAAAAATAACCAAGCAAATCACAAAAATAAGTGGGGAAAACATTCAAACAGTATAAAGCCAAAATTACTACTAGCAGGACAACTAAATAAGCCAGTAGAATGACAGCCCAACCAAATTAATAGCTATAGCTATTCAAGGAAAAGTTTGATGGCTTAGGAAAACTGTCCATCTGAAGGCTTCCAGGACAACTGCTAGGTGCTGCTGAACAAAGCCCCTTCTAAATACTAAGTTTTTCCTGGCATTTATGCCTCTCCCTCCTCCTGACTGCACTGCAGTGCGCCAAGGCACCACGTAAAATCACTTCAAATATATTTGCTATTAAAAATCCTCAGAAACAGTTTTCAAAGTTTTCAGTATTCAAAGAGGCCAACAATGAATGCTTTACTTTTCATTCCAAATTATACTGCAAACAGAATCAAGGAGACAGAGGAAATATTAGTCTTATCCAAGCAATCAGGACACTAAAGAAGCAAAACACCTGCTACTCTGGACCTCCCCCCTCTCCGCAATCTTTGGCCATCTCTCCATTGAAAATATTCCCAAATGTGAAAGCAATCTGGTGCACAAGGTACAAGTGTCAGACAAAATCAGGAGATGCAGGAGTGTAGATGGGGCGGTTCCCGTGGTGAGCATTTTGCTGGATTCACAGGCTCCAACGAGATGATGAGAGAGAGATGGGGAATGCTCAGAAAACCGTGTCAGTGTCGGGGGTGGGGAGGTGCTCAACGTTCGAATCAGATTAGCCAGTGTCCGAGCGGTCCCCGCGCCCGGGCGCCTCCTCCGATCCGCAGCATCCCTAACAGCCGCAGTCTCGGGGGCCCTGCACAGCCGGCCAGCGCTTCCAGGCCCGGGCGGGGAGCTGGGAGGGGGCGAGCCGCCGGCCCTCAATGCCAAGAAGGGATGGGGAAGCCAGCGCCTTTACCTGCAATGGTCCATGTCCAGCGGTAGAACTCCATGGTGTCGTTGAGTGCCGTGGACATCGCGTTCAGGACACTGCCCGGCTCCGAGTCCAGGAGCCCCATTGCGATGGGATTGGGTGCTGGAGGCGGCAAGCGCAGAAGATGGGGACCCGGCGGAACGGCTGACCACCGAGGCCAATGCCGGGAGCCTGGCACGAAACCTTCTAAAGGCAAGG